CGCTACTCGAGTGTTTTCCCCCTGCAACCCTTCACAGTCACGGCCACAGGTAAGTACCGGCCCTGCGGGGCCTTGCAACCAACAAGTACCCTTGCGGGTTACACACACACTCAACCGACAAGTACTCAGACAGGGATGCAAACCAGCAGGCACGCACACACACACAGATATGGAAATCACAGCAGAATGCGGGAATCTCAGCAAGGCATTCATTCCAGCGGCAAATCCTAGAAATCAGCAGTGTTCTTAGTCTGTGTTTTTGGCGGGTCATTACATTACCCCCTTCTCAAGAGCGAGGTCCCTTTGAGCGAGTAACTCCTTCAAAGTTGGCACAAAATGCATCGTAGGAGTAAATCAGAAAGAGAGACTTAGTAAGTCCGTGAGGAGTCATTTTTGCAACAAATTTAGCAGTTTGTCCCTCAACGATATGCCGTTCATAAGCGTTCACAACACGGGGAGCACTCTTTAGCAGCTCTTTTCGGTCGATCCAGAAAAATTCGGTCAATGGGTGATAGAGGAAGTGAACCTTGTACTGCCTGTTCCTCCCTCTTCCCTCGTGAGAAACGATTCTGTATATCTCATGGCCGCCGTCGATAGGGCGAGGTATCATAGGATCTCGGAAGGGAAACGTTTCATCATCAGTATGTGGAAAGAGTTTGGACGCATGAAAGACCGGATACGTGCACAGATGAGGAGGCACGTCAATCACATATGAAGGACCAAAATCATCCCCAATCACCTTCAGAATCTGCCAAGGGTCATAGTACAATGGAAGGAGTTTTCGTGATATGCGCTCTTCATCAGAAAACTCAAACATTTTAACCCAAACATAATCCCCTACTTTGAATTTTTCTTCTTTGCGCAACTTGTTGGCATGTTTGATCATGGCATGCTGGCGCTTGTTCATGGCTGCAATAACAGCCTTGAGCAAGCGTGCGTACTTGGCATTGTAGCCAGGCATGCCGGGCATCAGACCAGGTAACCGTTCGGGGAACAAATAGGAGAGGGGATTACACATCGGCCATCCATATTGCAACTGGTTTTGTGTCACACCAGTTGCAGAGTGAATGGAGTTGTTGTACAGTCCCTTCACTTTGTGCAACTCCTTGTCCCATGTGTTCTGATCTGAAACAATCAATCCGCGAAGTAGTTGGATGACAGTCTGGTTGATCTCCTCAGCCAGTCCATTGGCTTCGGGGTGTCGACCAGAAGTCTTTCTCAGTTTAATGTCATGGATCTGAGCAGTGAAGTCCTTCCAATCTTTGCTCATGAATCTGGTGTCCCGATCACTCACAATAGTTTTCGGGACGCCAAACTGCAGAATGTACT